TTTCTGTCTGTGGATGAAAGATACTGTCCTAATTGCATCAGGCACAGGATTAGTGAGCTCTATATCCAGTCAAAACTGTCCAACTTAACATTACACACAGGAAAGACCAAGTAAATAAAGAATGCCCATTAACTAGACTACAATATATGCTGGATGGACATTCATCCTGCACATTTAATGGACTCATTATAGAACACCTTTATTGAGCTGTTCCATCAGTACATATGTCTTAGACAGATACATGCAGGTGGACAATGAACCAGGCCCAGAAATGAAGATGGTTCACAGCTTTCAGTGATCCCAAATTGCTCTCTGAAGAAAACTTCCTCTCTCCTTTTTTTAGCCGCAGCTTCCAGTGATGCTTTATGGCTGCTGATCATGGATCAAAGCCCAGTGGAGAAAGTGATAAGGCAAAGAGTCTGTAGTTAATTGTAAAGAAAATTTGCATATGAGAGGTGGTATAGACGATTCGTCAGTGCTTTTATGGATTTATAATCCTTGCAGTGGTGCAGATTCATTCTACCCACGTATTCCCATAAATCCACCTCAAGCAGTCCATTTAACTTTCTAGGGTCTTCCCCTAAATTGTGATTTAATTGGTGGAGTGGAGACAATATGAAAATTGTGTAATTCTTAGCACCTGTGGCTTCCTTTGCCGTCACTCTGCTTCTGTAGTAGCAGAAGCAGAGAGGCCTACATAAGACTGAGGACCACCTTGTGTTTTTCTTTGTTTTATGGGCTACATTGGCTAAAGGGTTTTTCACCAAATAGCTAGCCTCTACTGATGAGCCGCTTCATATACATTAGTTTAAAAGCCCATCCAGAAGAGTAAAAACTGTCCTACTTACACTTCACTAGCATAGCCTTCGAGAACAAGGGATGCCTCCATACAATAAGATACCAGAATGAGAGTTTTCTAAAAGATGTCATCCAGCAAATACATGATCAGGAAAGGAAGCAGGCTGGACATGTAGAAAGTACAAGAGATAACAGATGGACAGATGAGGACTGCACTGGTATACACATAATGTCCAGAACAGCTGGAGGAAGTCCTCTAGTACATGTAGTGGCCTCCTTACAGAGAATTTATGGCAGGACATGGGTATTCAGCTCATTGGATTTGAAAGTATGTCAGTCCCCTGCTCAAGAAGCATTAGTGGTTTCCCATTGCTTCTAGGCTAAAATACCTACACCTCTGCTTGGAATTAAAAACCCTTCACAATCTGGCTCCAGCCTCTCCTTCTAGGCTGCCTACATACTACTCCACCTCACAGACTCTATCCTCCAGCCAAATCGGCCTGCCTTGTTCCTCCTCTACAAGATTCCATCTTGTATCTCTGTGCCTTTGCATAGGCAGCTCCTCTCCCTGGAATACTGTCCCTCACCTCAGCTTCTTAAAACTTCTAGCTAAAGTACATTTCCTTTAAAATGCCTTTCCTGATTCCCTCATATTATTAGTCTCCCCCACTCCACAAAAATAAGCCACTTTGTATTTATTCTTCAGTGTCCTATGTTTGCTTATCTGCAAACACACGTTCCCCCAGGAGATCATAAGCTGCCTTGAGGGCAGCAAACTCACCTTTATGTATCTCTAAAACCTAGCACAATGCCTGGCACGTAATGGGCACCTAATAAATGCCTCTTGATTTGTTGAGCTAGGATCTGCACTTATGGAAGGAATGTCTAACATTAATGAAATTATGGACTGTTAAAGCCTTATTAGTGAATCAAAATTTGCCAGCCATTGCTTTCTAGTTCTGCCCTTCAAGGTCAAGCAAAATAATTTGTTTCAATATGATAACTCTTCATGTTTTTTAAAACAACCATCATACTTCCTCTGAGTCTTCTCTTTTTCAGGTTAAACATCCCTAGATTGTTCAATCAGCTCAACCACGCTCAACCAGTGTGATGCCATTTTAAGTCCTCTCACAATCCTGGTGGCACTCCTGGACATACTAGAGTTTTTCACTATCCTTCCTAAAATATGGTGTCCAGAAATGAACAGTTTTCCAGATGTGCCTTGACCATGATTGGGTACAACAGGAATATTACTTTTCTCACTTGAAACACAATAATATTGAACACAATAATACATTAATGCAGCCTGTGATCCCTTTAGTTTTTTAAATTTACCTCATTGTACTGCTAACCACTTTGAGATTACAGTCCGCTAAATGTAGACTGGCATTGCCAAAATCCTTCATACTCTTAAACAATATCTTTATAAGTAAAATTGGTTTCCATTGGAATCTTTTTGCAATCAAGTAGAAATACATGAAATACAAGTTATCCTTTTTCTTTTTCTTTTCCTCTTCCTTAGGGTTTTAATTCTGAGGCTTCTTTCAACATTTTGAAACCTGTAACTCATTGTAATCCCATCATTAGATCTCTATAATTTCCCTTTCCTATAAGATTATAACAGAAATGTATAGTGTACTTAGTCAATCAGTAAGCATTTATTACTGTGTGCCAAGCACTACGCTAAGCATGGGGCATAAAAGAAAGCCAAAAGACATTCCCTGCCCTTGAGGGGCTCACAGTCTAATGAGGAGACAACAGGTAGACAAATATAAACAAACAAACTGTGTTTGGGATAAATAGGAAATAATTAATAAAGGGAAGGCATTATGGTTAAAAGAGATTGAAAAAGGCTCTCTGTAAAAGGTGGGATTTTATCTGGAACTTGAAGAAAGCCAGGAGCCAGGGATGAGGAAGAAGAACATTCCAGGCCGGAAGGACAGCCAGAGAAAATGCCTAGAGCTGAAGATGAATTGTCTTGTTGTAGAAACAGCTAGAAGGATAGTGTCACTGGGTCAAAGAGTATGTGGGGCTTGTAAGGTGTAAGAAGACTGGATAAATTTGGGGTAGGGGGTGTTAGGTTATAAAGGACTTTAATGCCAAACAGAGGATTTTATATTTGATGGAGGTAATAGGGAGTCATTGGAGTTTATTGAATATGAGTTGCCATTGTTGGACCTGCACTTTGAGAAAATCACTTTTGACAGCTGAATAGAAGATAGAGTGGAGTAAGGAGTGACTTGTGTCAGGCAGACCTTCCAGCAAGGTATTGCAGTAATCCAAGCATGAGGGAATAAAGACCTGCATCAGGGTGGTGGTAGTATCAGAGGAAAGAAGGGGACATATGGAGACAAATGGACAGGCCTTAGCAACAGATGGGTATGCAAAGTGATAGATGGGAGTAGAGAATGACACCTAGGGTGAAAGCCTAAGGAACTGAGAATATGGTGTTGACCTCAGCAGTAACAGGGAAGTTTGGAAGGGGGAAACAAGTTAATAATCAGTACTCCATCCCTATTCAACAGCACTTGAATAAGAGTGAAGGAGGTAGATGATGGATGTAATCCAGGGTTGAAGTCTGGCAGGGTGTGATCAGCAATAGGACAAAAAGGCAAGGGATTTTAAAGTAAAAGAGAGTATAGATTATCCATTCATGAAGATTTACCATAAAAAAAAAAGAAGATGAGAAGGAAATTTTTAAAATATCACCAGTATTAATAGAAAAATTAGCATTGTTTCAGAAAGATATCAATAGGGATATTAGAAGTTAAATTATTCAAAACTGAGACACCAGTGTGCCATTGGTGGAGTTATGAACAGATCCAACCATTCAGGAGAGCAATTTGGAACTGTGATCAAAGGGCTATAAAACTATGTATACCCTTTGATCCAGTAATACCACTGCTAGATCTGTACCCCAAAGACATCCCATAAAAGGGATAAGCACCTATTTGTACAAAAAAAATATTTATAGCAGCTGTTTTTGTGGGCTAAGAATTGAAAATCGAAGGGATGCCCATCAATTAGGGAATGGCTAAACAAGCTGTGGTATATAATTGTGATGGAATATTATTGTGCTATAAGAAATGACAAGCAGGACAATTTCAGAAAGACCTGAAAAGATTTACATGAACTGATGCAAGTGAAGTGAGCAGAACCAGGAGAATATTGTACACAGTAATAACAGTATTATGTAATAATCATCTGTGAATGACCTGACTATTCTCAGCAATACAGTGATCCAAGCCAATCCCAAAAGACTAATGATGAAGCATGCTTTCCACCTCCAGAGAAAGAACTGATATTGTTTGAATACAAACTAAAGCATGCTGTTTTTCACTTTGTTTCTCTCTTTCTTTTTTGAATCTTCTTGTGCACAATGACTAATGCAGAAATGTTTTACATGATTGCATGTGTGACCTATGTTGGATTGCTTACTCTGTCAGAGAAGGAGGAAAGGGGAGAGGGATAGAATTTGGAACTCAAAACTTTTTTTAATGGTGAAAGATTGTTTTAGCATGTAATTGGGGAGGGAAATAAAATATTATATAAAAAATTTAATTATTCATGCCAGAAACAAATATGCAGACATTATTGTATGTGTTACTAAAAAGATTCTTGGTTTCATTGGTATGAGAATATGATAACTATTCCCTTGATTAGCTCAAATCATTTTCTCTGTGCCTTAGTACGTAGTAGCCTTCATGAGTTGCTGTGGCAAAATAACAATAATAATAATAATAGTAATTCATTACTTGATTACTAGTCAACATCTACATACTTAGCCTGTTCTTTAAACAGCAGGCACAAAAAAAATTAAAATAAAAATAAAATAAGCAGCAGGTACACAGTCCATTCTTAGACCCAGTATTACAGTGTTTACAGCATGGTGGGAGCTACATGACCTTGCATTCTGATAGCATACCCTTTGAGAACCTAGGCTCACCTCCATGCTGCGTTAACGTACAAAAGTAAGACTTGAATTGAGATGCATTGTCGTATTATAAGCACAAACATTGCAAGAACAACTCTTAATGATGACAGTTCACATTTATAGTAGCTGGGATCCCCAGTAGAAAATTTTACAACCACCACTTCAAAGGAGTTCTTTCCTCACTTGATAAGAATTGTGTTGGAAAGGGCAAGATTTTGTTTTAAGATTTGAATTTAAAATAGAACTTTCACAAATTCCTGTGTTGCAGACCAAACCTGGACCACCCAAGAGGCCAAAGACCTATTTTGGACGATCAGCCTTAGTATACTGCTACAACTGTTCTCGGAAAGGCCATTATGGATATGTAAGTTTCAATACTTTCTACCTAAATACTACTTCTATATGACATGATCTGTTCATGACAAACTCCATCTATTTGGAATAGTAGCTAAAAGAGTCATAGCATGTATGACTTTAAATATATACTGTGCCATAAATTTGGAGAATTGTTTTTAAGTGTGATCTATCAGTTTATGTCATCTACAGAGTAACGTGATACAGTCCCAGTGTTCTGTAAGTCAATAATGTAATAAAAGTGTAACTTCTTGAAGGCAGGGAATGTTTCTTTGTTGACTTTGTATCTTGCACAATGTTCATGCCAAATAAATGAATGCTATGTGAGCAACATAAGACTGAACATACATGAATTTGATTTAATGTTATCGAATGGAGCAGCACCTGCTTTTGACAATTGAAAGTTTTTGAGGAAGCTTAGTAGTAGATATTAGCCTCCGAGTTGAAATCAGATCTGTGCCCCCACCAAACTCAGGGGGATAGATTGGAATATCATTGGAAAATGTTTAACAAAATAAATTTAAAATACAATACAACACAACATAGATAATGATCATTGGTTGTTTTGTAAGTCAGTATGGGGCCTGCTGGGATTCTGTTGGAGTTTGACATCCCCGTACTAGATCAGTTAACCTCTCAGTGCCCCGAGGCAGTTCTGTAAGACTACAAATTGCAAAGAAGATGCCAGTCTGCATTAGTAGAAGCTCCTCTCCAGAAGTTCCCTATGCAAATGAAATCAGAGGTCCAGAAAAAATAATGTTTTACATAATAGTTACATAATAGTTGTGTCCATTATAATAACAAATGTCAGGGAGTTCTCACAAATGAGTACATAATATTAATTTTATACAACCAAATCAAGTTTTGTTTTGTTTTTTATCTTCATGTTCTCTAGATAAAGTTTCGATATTAAGTTTTCCTTATTACCTTGTACACCTTAACCTTTATGACATACACTTCTGGAAAGACATTGGATCTCACTCGTAAGCCCAGGGTTACTTGTCTATCTGGCTACCTCTTCAGAGGTCTCTAATCAGCTCATCTAGATGCTGTACTATTAGGCTGTCTAAAATTTAGAATTTTCATTTCTAAGATTGCATTTGGCCCATTTGAAATATAGTAAAATTCATCATGGTATTTTAAGTACCTTTGAGATTTCCCTCGGAAGATCCTGAACTTCTCTAAGTATACTATAATAGATAGAATTCAACACTTCTAGGTATTGTTTGTTTAATTTATTAGTTCTGTCTTGTTATACACATTTTTCATACAGTATCCATGGTGGTAAACTTTCAGGGTTGATGTTCATTTAAGGAATGCTGTTTAAAAATTGTAGTTGCATTGCCTCTAAGTAGTGGTCTCTTTAAAGCAGGGCTTCAAAAGGATGAAGTATTCCTGTTTTATTTTCTCAGTTAAAAAGAAAATTAAATTGTTATGTTCTGTCACATGTGCTGTTATCTGTTAATGAAGACAAAAATCTGTTATGAGTCTTTGAAATTTATCCCTGGAAATCTAGGATTAGGTAATTTTAAATTTATAATACAAACTTGACATCCGTATACCAGAGGTGACAAACTCTCAATTATCCAAATTTACAGTGGGAGAAAAGCAATGGTGTAGATAATCCAAAAAGTAGATAATATGAAAATAATTTATATGAGCAAGTATAGATTTTCCATACTGATGGAAAAGACTAGTGATGTAAATAATCAAAAAATAATTTACATTTGACTTTGTAAGATATTTTTGTGTAATATAACTCCAGATGACTGGATTAATCTGAACCAAGTATGATCCAGATATAACAAAAATCAGTCTAGCGAAATGTCTTTGAATGTTCCTTTCCTCCAATTTATTTCATGCATTTCAATTCAATAAATTTTTATTGAGTTCCTACTATGTGCAAGACACTGTGCTAAGTGATAAGGAAGGATACTAAGGAGTTATTGCTCAAGTAATTGCAAGGATCAGGATGAAGAAATTAGTCTGTAATTCTTGTAGTGTTAGAACACTTAGCTATGTGTATGGAAGTCATTAATAACCTTCTGAACTGCAGCCCATAGTTTGTGTTAATTCCATCCTGATGTGATCAGAAGAGCACTAGAGTTAGAGCAGAAGATCTGAGTTCAGGTTTTGCCTTGACACTGGATGTGGGTATGATCAGAAAAAAGTGACTTAAACTCCTCTATTTCCCAGTTTTCTCAACTAATTACCTATTACGTGCCAGACACTGCTACAACAGGCATTATGGAAAGAACTCTTATTTGACCTACCCGGTTTTGTAAAACTTTAACAAACAATGCAAATGACTGTTTGATCAACAAACATTGGTAGAAAGGTACTACTGGAAAGCGACAGTTATTCACCAATATGAGACTGAATGCAGACTTTGCCGTTTGGTGACTGAACAGCTGCTAAGCATAGATTTGCCTTGCATCTAGAGGTAGGAAGCCTTCAGTCATGCGCAATCTAGAGGCAGGTAATAATAACTACAGCAATTTTAGAATAATGGTAAACAATATGTCAAAAGATCTGCAGAAGCTATAATGTGATACGAAAACATCCATGATTCCCACCTCCTCTCGTCCTGCTGCGGTCAGGTCTGCAGCCTTCGCTGCCTGGCTTTGCTGCTGCCATCACTTCGTCCTCTCCAGCCCCAGACTGATGTTTGCCGATGAGGTAAACACGAATAGCTCAAAAGAAACGTCATGGATAGCATGGTTCTGGGGGCTTGGTGGCAATTAATTCTTCTGTGAGGTGGGTGAAGACTCTCTCCAGGATTAGTTCAACCTCACAGGACTCTCTGAATAGGTGCCCCACTGTAGGCAGGTATGAGACATGGTCCTTGACTTGGAACCTGCTGAGGACAACCCTGACCAGAATCAGAGCAGGCCTCTGAGATGCTGAGTGGACTGATTCATGCCCACTACATGCTTGCAAACCATGGCATCACCCAGATGGTAGAAAAATACCGGCAAGGAGACTTTGGCTAGTGTCCTCATGTGTTTTGTGAAAACCCGCCCATGTTGCCCATTGCATTGTCAGACGTACCAGGTGAGGCCATGATGAAGCTGAACAGCCCCAGCTGCACAGTTGGGTTACACCCCCAAGTCACGTGTGCACCAGCACACAGATGAGGCTTACTTTGTTGCTGGCTTTCTCCATGTGCTCTTCATTGTGCATCCCGAGTACAGGCCCAAACAACCTGCCAGCCAATTTGTGCCCAGCCTGTATGGCCTACCAGCTGCAACTTCAGGCACCCTGTGAAGAGCATCCCCTGACATGTCTCCTCCCCTCCCCCCAATACCTCAGGCTGTGACACCATTCTCCCTCCCTCCCTGATACACACACTTTTCCAGAACCCCCAGTGGTTTTTAGTTTAAATTAAGAAGTTATTGTGGTGATGTGGTGGAAGTATGAAATAAAGTGGAAGAAAAGGCCAAAAAAAAAATCCATCTATTGGAGACAAAGTCATAGGGGGTGCTAATACCAAGGTGATTTGTTGCCTACATTCATAATGAAGGAAATGCTAAATTTCAGTTAGAAGGTAGGGAAAATAAAGATGATTTTTTTTTCTCATTCAGGTTTTCAAACCTATTGAAATATAAGGGTCAGTGGATCCTAAGTTAAGAACACTTAGATTAGTGCATCTTTCTCCTCATAGTAACTCTAACAATTACCTTTTTCCTTTTTTTTTTTTTTTGTCATCTTTACCAATCTGGTGGGTGATTTCTGTACAAAATTACTGAAAAGCATAGGAATAAATTGATCTTTCCTTAATATAGTAAATAATAACATCTATCTAAAACCAAGAACCTATAAACCTGTGCGCTTGGCCTCGATTATTACAGGAATGTACTGAATAATATAAAAAGGAAGCAGTGATCACAAAGAACCAGCATGATTTCATCAAGATCAGGTCATACCAGGCTACCCATATTTCCTTTGACACGGTTCATAGACTGGTAGATCAAGGGAATACTATATATAAAATTTACTAGATTTTAGCAAAGCATTTGACAATCTGTCTAACACACTAGTTTCTTGTGGAAAAGATGAAGAGATGTGAACAAGGCAAAACTTACTGAATGACTCAACCCATAGTCATCAATGCTATTTTGTAACCTCAAAAAGAATTCTTCATGGAATACCCCTGGGAGGGATCTATGCATGGGACAATATTGGTTAATATTTTTATCAGTGGCTTGGAGAAAGACATCGATTGGATGCTTACCAGATTTGCAGGTGGAAGAAAGCTGAGAGGGATAAGTGACTCAGTCAAAATCCAGAAGGATCTTAGTGATCTCAAATATTGGGGTGATTGGACAAAGAAATTTAATAAGGGTAAATAAATGTAGATTCCTACATTTGAGTTGAAAAAAATCAACTTCCCTTACTATAGTACAAGATGTGGAAGCCGTGGCTAGACGTTAGTTCCTATGAACAAGATCTCAGGTTTTGATATACTGCTAGTGTAGAATGAGTCGGTCATGTAATAATTAAGACAGTCAGAAAAGCTGAGGCGATCTTGGGCTTCATAGGGAGGTTGAGTGGCCTGTTTGAGGGAGATGATATCATTGTATACGGTACTAGTGAGACCACAGATGGATGTTTTGTTCACTACTGGATGTGACATTTTAGGAAGGTCATTGATAAGGCAGAGAGTATCTTGAGGGAGATGACCATCATGGCCATATGAGGATCAGTTGAAGAAACTAGGGATGTTTAATCTGTAAGAGAGAAAACTTAGTAGGACTTAATAGTGGTTTTTAAGTGTCTGAAGGTCTGTTCCATGGGATAAGAATTGCTGTTGCCTGACCCCAGAAGACAGAATAAGGAGCAGTAAGTGGAAAGAGACAGGTTCAGGTTTGATAAAAGAGAAAACTTGCCCACAGTTGGAGCCGTCCCAAAATGGAACAACTATCTATCCGTAAGTATTGGGTTCCCCTCAGAAAAGGCCTTGATGGATACTCATTGAGGACTTTGTAGAGATTTTTTTCAGGTTGGCGCTAGCCTCTGAGGTCTCTAAGATTTTTATGGCTCTGTAACAAAGAGATTGAGGAGGAGTTTGGAGTGCTGGGGGAAATTTTTTAAAAGATGCCTAAAGCCAAACAATTAACCCTGGAGATCTCATAAGACTAGATTTAAACAGTAGATTTATCATATGCCATAAATTGTGATCCTACGGTGAACTTGACTGTACACTTGCAAGGCCTAATTCAAAAAGGAGATGGCAACAATAATTGCCACAACTCAAGTGAATAATCCTAAGTAATAATCCAGTTCATTGGATATTGTATTAAGTGTATTAGGTGCTAGAGAAACACACACAAACACAAAACTCTCCCTAGCTTCAAAGAGCTCACGATAGTAATGGGTGTTCATATAAAAGTGTAAGACTTATAAAGCACTTTACGTATAGCATCTAACTTGATCACAATAGTTCTTTAAGGTATGTTTTACAAATATTATCTCCGTTTTACAGATGAGTCTGAGGCCCAGGGAGGTCACTTGCTCAAAGCCTCATAGCTAGTAAATGGAGGCCCCAGGATCGAATCCACTTCAAACTCCAAGTCCAGTGATATGTCACTATACCAGCCTGTTTTGAGTTCATTGTAACAACACAGTTGTTATCGGGCATCAACATTATGCCTTCTCCATTTGACTGACGTACCAAAATGCTCCACTTCTTAGGTGCCCTCAGAACATGTACCCTCAGAACACCTTCACAGGGAGCTCCCACGTAGTTGGGAGATAATGATTGCAGCTGTCTTTAGTACATATGGTCTATAAGCTAGTAAAAAATATAAAATTTCTGCAATGATTCTTGAAAGTTGTAATACTAAATATAATTTTTAGGAGTGCACAGAAAGACGGATGTTAAGTGGAACGTTTCCAACGGTACCATTCATCTACTACTATGATAAAGAGCATGATATCCGGGAACAAGAACAGAGAATACAGTGGAAAGTAGAAGGTATGATAAGGGATGTCTCAGTGAATTGTTTTTGCAGTGATGCCTGAGATCCCCTGCAGCTCTAAATGTATAATCTTATGATCTCTTTGCATGCAGTGATAATACTTTTTTGTGCCTGTAGCATCGATTTAGTAAAAGTGAACCCCTCTATGTAATTGGAGGTATTTTGATCTCCACTTTGTTGTGTTGTGTTGACTCCTCCATAATATTCAATTGAGTAAATTTCTAAAAATGTTTACCATAGTCTGTATATTTCCAGGTCTTAAAATACTGTTTTAATTTGTTTTCTTTACAAGTAAGTGCTTTTTTAAGGTCTGTATTCAGCTGTGATTTACTTCATGGGAACAAACAGGTCTCTTGCCAACATCCGATCCACTCTTTGTTGTCAGAACAGTTGTGATAGCTGGCATTGACTCAGTGCCTGCTGTGCCCCAGGATACAGACGTTATCTTGTTTGATCCTCACAACAAAGTACAAAATGTATTGGCCTGGATTACAGATGAGGAAACTCTGGCCCCAAAATGAAAAGGTTAAGCGACTTATCCATGGGCAGGCACCAAGCTCAGGAGGGTTAGAAGCAGAATCCGAGTCCAGCCTCCCTGTCCCTGCGTCCTTCTGGGCTGCCACGTTCCCTCGTCAGCTCAGTTAGCCAGGCAGCTCACCAGCTACTTGGTTCTCAGAGAGCTCGAGAAGATAACAGTGCTGCCTCTCCGTATGGAATGGTTAGTCACTCTTGCTAATAAAGTCGGGTTTGGGGGTTTTGGTTTTGTTTCTGTTTTAACCTCAGTCACTCGTAGCGCAAACTCATCTTCCCCAGTTCTGCTCTCTGGCAGTGCAGAACAGCTTGTCCATGTACTTCACAGTAGTTAGGAAGGCACCTTTCATTCTCATTTGTTTCTCAATTAAGCTTCATTAGGTACCTTTTGTTTTAAATCCCTGTCATTTCTAGATTTACACAAATAAGAACTGGTCCTCCCTTTATAACGGAGAACAGTTAGGCAAAAACAACTGACCTAGTGACCATGGCTGACAGTGTCTGCCGCTTCTTGTACCTATAGTACCCCACCTCTCTCAAAGGAAGAGGGTGTTTCTATATCTCTTCTCTGTTCATCCTTTATTCTTTCAGTACAAAAAAAAAATCTTGTTTAAATTTTCTGTGTATTATTTCCGAACCTTTGGAAAGCTTTTATGCTCCCTTTATACTTCCTTTAAGGTCTCCCTGCGCATTTTACAGTGAGAAATCCAGTGCTTAGTGAATATAGAGAAAGAATTATTTTTCAGCTCTTACTTGTCATTACTTTGTATTAAAACTCCACTGTGGCACAGATTGATAAGCCTCCTGTGATCTGAAGGTCTTTTTAATCTTAATAATCATTCCTGGGCTCAGGTTTTTGGTTTTATGCTTTATTTTCTGTAGTTCATTTTCAGTTCTCAAGTACTTTTCCCTTCACTGAGTAGATTTTGTCCAGTTTTTGACTGACCATTTTTATAACATGTCATCGTCATTCCTATTCTCTGTTTGCTCTCCCTAACACCAGGCTCTTAATTACATTCCTCCAGGTCCTGACAAACATGTTAAGAAATAGCAGCTTCAGAAGAAATCCCTGTGAGAAGTCGCCACAGTGGGCCTCTAACCACCACATTAGAGTAGAATCTCCAGGCACCCCCCAGTATTGTGATCCCAAATCTGTCCTCAGTTCAGAATGTCATGTGGGGCCATGTCCAAAGTCTTCCTGAAGGCCAGATTACAGCCTTGCCTCAAGGCCTGTTTCACTCTTTCTTGAATTGATCTGACAACTCATATTTCGCAAAACTAATAACATTTATATAGCTTTCTACAATATGTCCTAGGCACTGTGCTAAATGCTTTATAGTTATTGATCCTCACAGCCCTGGGATGTAGGTGCTATAATTATCCCCATTTTACAGAGGAGGAAAGTGAAGCTGAGAACAGTTAAGTGACTTGCCCAGGGTCATACAGCTAGTGTCTGAGAGCAGGTTTTTTAACTTGGGTCTTTCTGACTCCATGCTCAGATCTGGATGCAAGTTAAAATGATCACTCCTCAGATTTGTGTTTGCATAGTGAGTTAGTTAACTACCTAAATTGAATATAATTCTCTGATTGTCGAATTTACAAATCTTTTTTCAGTTTTAGCAATAAGGGATATTGCTCAATTAAATTTTTTTTTTTTGCCCCAGCATGTGCCACCTCCTACACAGAAGCCTTTCCTGATCCATCATTGCTAATCCCCATCCCACATTTCTTACAGTGACTTTATTCATTTATCAGTATACATGTTGTTTTCCCCAATACAATGTAAGCTTCTTAAGGACATGGACTGTTTTGTGTTTATCTTTATAAAGATACACTTTATATGAGATTTAAAAATATAGATGCCTGCATCCAGTAGATACTTAAAGACTGCAGGGGCAGCTAGGTGGCGGAGCAGCCCTGGAGTCAGGAGGACCTGAGTTCAAATCCAGCCTCAGACACATAACACACACCCGCTGTGTGACTCTGGGCAAGTCACTTAACCCCAAATTGCCTCACCAAAAAAGAAAGGAAAAAAAATCCAGAGGGACAAAGAATGCTTGTTAACTGATAACTTTTCACCTTAATAGAGACCGTTTAGAATAATGTCCCAGGATTCAAAATGCAAAGAAGTTAGATTTCACTAAGTGAAGCTTATTTCCCCCAGGAAAATTCTAGAATAGGTTCCTAAACTGATAGCTTGTTTGTCCTTAGAAAAGGAAACAGAATTAAGTCTTAAGAAGCCCCTTTAAATAAACTTTGCCAAACTAGCTTTGCCTGGTCTTTCTACAAGGTTGCTAGTCTAGTAAATAGGGAAAGTTTTCTAGAGATTTATCTGCATGTCATTGTGGCATTTGAAGTCTCCCACATGGGCTCGATAAGTTACACTGAAGTGATTTTGTAACTAGTGGAGCATCTGGAGCCACAGAAGGTCGGCATCTGCCCAGTGACCACCCAGAGGAAGTTTTTGTGGGGCTGGCTCCAGAGGCCTCTGCTAGGCCCCATTGTATTCGAGACTTTTTTCCAGTGATTTGAAGACACAGTTGTGCTTCTGAGTTTGCCAAATGACATGAAGACAGGAAGGATCATTAATACACTGGCCAATGGGGTCAGATTCAAAAGTATTTTGAAAACGTGACCACAGCTAAGATGATGAAATATAAAAAGGATTCAGATACAGGTGAAGTTAAATAAATAGGAGTCAACATATCCCTTCGGTTGAAATACAAATCAACTTCACAAATATGTGATTGGGACATACATGGCTTAAGAGCATTTTATGTGTGGGGGGGGAACCCCTTGGGATTTTAGCTGACTGTATAAAACAGCCTCCAGGAGCAGTTGGATTTGGAGTTAGCAAACCTGGGTTCAAATCTCCACTCTACCAATTACTACCTGTGTGATGTTTCAGTTTCCACATCTGTACATTTTGAAGTTTAAACTAGATAACCTATACAGGCCCTTTCAAGAGTCCTTGTAAGTCATCTAATTCATTGCATCAAACCAGATAATACCCCAAACAAGGGAGTTATCTCTCCTCCTTCTTCATTCCACTCTCTTCTGAGCTAGTCGGACCTGGGCTTCACATTTTAAGAGGGATAAACTGGTATGAGTACAATTGAGGACAACCAAGGTAGTAATGAAACACAAAACTATGTTATATGAGGAGTTGAAGAAACTGGAGGGTCCTTGGTCTATAGAAGAGAAAACTAATAAGTCATAATAAATCGTTTACAGTGTTTGAGAAGCAGTCTGTGGAAAAGGACAGCAAAGGACAGGGCCATAACCATGGCTAAAACCAGGATAAAAATTACAAAGAAAGCAGATTTCAACTTGGTATAAGGAAAAATTTCCTAGCCCTATATAAAAATAGATACTGGAGGTATTCAAACAAAATTTGTGTGATTACTGGCCAGGCTTTTTGTAGGAGGGACTCATTCATCAGGTCAGGATTCAATTAGATGACTTAGATTGTACCCTTCCAACTCTTAAAATTCTGTGACTCCAATGCATGAAAGTTTCTGCCATCCCTTCATGCTTCATGGCACTTTGAGATTGTAGATTATTTACAGGCCTGCATGGTGAAATGAGTTTCTCCAGATTGTGAATATGCAAAAACATTTGTATTTTTCAGAACTTCAAAAAAAGGGAGATTTTCCAAGACCAGTCAAGAGACCCCGTATGGAATCAACAAACAGGAGTCCCTACCATGGAATAAAGAAGAGACATACCATACAGGAAGACTACAAATGGCATCAAGAAAAGAAGTATCTCAGAAGAACAAAAATGAGCAATTGGAGCAGTAGAAGCCAAGAAAAAAAGTCCCGGAGGGATGTCCAGAGGTGGTATGATGCAGATGAGGACTTCATCAGAGGACCCAGAAGTCACTCTTCATCTCATAGACCCTCCTCCCACTTAGGCTACCATCATCAAAAGAGGAGTGGAGGGGAGCTTTCCAAAAGGGGTAAATGGGAGAAGTATAAGAAAGGAGAGAGAAAAAGAGTAGATGATGAGGAAGGTTTATTCCTTATTAAGCAGAGAAAAAAGAAATCAAAGCTGAAAAACAGCTGCTAACATGGCAGTTGTGTGATAATCTGGCGTCTTTGTCTGCCTGTGCCCTGGCATTGTGTTTTCTTACCTCATTAAAGAAGTAAGATGTGTTTATTCCAGTTCTAAAGAAGCTAAGCTCACTGTCATTGAGCTCTTGTCTTCTGTTTTTAAGCAATTGATTTGCTTTTCTCTGTGACCAACAAGTTGTTTATTGTGTGAAAAGGTAAAGAGGTAAATTAGTTTTCAATTTTCAGGACTATTCCTATTTGATAAATTGTACTTTTGACTTAGAAGCCTGGGAATGAGAAAGCTTAATTTTGTGGTGTTGTTATTTGTTTGTTTTTTTAAAGAAGCCCTTTTAAATATACTCTACCAAGAAAAATAGTTTATGAAATGTCATTCGTCTGCAGTCTACATTTTTTAAAAAACAGAACTTTGAAGTAAAAACGAAGTGAACGTTGATGAGAAAATTTACTCAGTCATTTTCGAGATTCCCTTTTATACTAATTGGGAAAGTTTAAAATGTGCTTTGTTCTGTGTTCAATCTCTCCTACTTCTAAAGCTTGTTCTGAAGTCATACTTGGTAAGGAATATCACAGGCTGACTTTGAAAATGAGTGAGGTGTCCTGTCCTAAGTATAGCATGATTGTGAAATTATTGAAGCATTAAGGAGATAAGGAACTTGAACTATAGGAAAACAGAAGAAATCATACTGGTAAAACTAGTGAAAGGAACAAAAGTTCTGACAAATGTATGAAAAAGAGACTAAATCAAGGTCTCAATGTAATCTCTAAAGAATGTTTTTCCTCAGTGTGAAAATCACCTTCATAAAGTCAATCACCCAAATATGTAAAAAACTTTTAAAAAAATAAAAATCACAACATTTATTACAGTGTAAACTAAAATTACCTGGCTTTTTAAGAAGCTGTGATATATTTTTTGTACTTTGTTAAGTTATATTGAGAATAAGTGAACTAGATGCCGAGATAAAATAACACTACTGTGTATAAATTTGTCCTTTACATGACAAGAAAATAAGCGATAATTATATGGAGGGACAAGGTTAATAAAAACAAATATAATAGCTCATTTCCTTGACCACTCAAAACCCATCCATAAGGCTCTCTGTAGAGCTAAAGTGTGGTGTGAATTGAAACATGGAAATTTTATGTTAATCAGTGAATATTTATTAAGTAATTACTATGGGACAGGCAGTATACTAAGGGATGGAGATGCAAAGGCAAACAAAGCAATACATGCCATCAAGCTTCAAGCCTTCCTGACTGAAGAGACATGTGGTAAGTATATACAAGACACATGCTAAGCAGATACAGGGTAACTTCAGGTGGGAAGACGCTAGCACCTTAAGGGACCAGGTGGGACCAGGTGGGACCAGGTAGGACCAGGCACAGCCTGCAGCAGAAGGTGGCATTTGAACTGCTTCTGGAAGGAAACAAAGAAGAAAATTCTGAGAGACAGAGGGTATGGAGGGGAGAGCATTGCAGCCATTCATAGGCAACAGTCGGGACAAAGGTACCAGAGTGAGGAACAGCAAGCAGGTCACTCTGGACCAGAGAGTATGTGGAGGGAGACAATTTATAAGAAGACTAGAGGTCAGGAAGGGGAAAGGTTGAGTTTATAGTTGATCCTGGACCTGGAGTTGAGTCTCTTCTCAACCATGTCACATCTTCATTGTAGGAAAATCACTTTGGTGACTAAATGGAGGATGAATTGGAGCAGTGATTTGTATCAGTTGAGATGAAAAGTGATGTGATGAGAATCTGAACTACAGTGGTAGCTGTGTGAGTGGAGGAGGGATTATGGGAGATAAATTGTGGAGACTGAAATTAGGAGATCTGTCAAGTGATGGGTTAGGTCGGGGACAGGAGAGTGGGAAGCTCAGAATGATATCTGGATGACTAACGCTTTTAGAAATATACATTTCTTTAGCACTTTAAGGTTTAAAAAGCCCTTTCCCCATCATCATTTGTTGCAGGGGTTGGGAATTTGGAATTATGTGAGGAAAGCAACCAAAACATCTGTCTTCTTTGACCCAGAGGTCCCCCTGCTAGTCATATACCTCAAGAAAAAGTGACAAAAAGAAAGGCCTCACATACACCAAAATATTTATCACATCACTTCTCATGGTAGCAAAGAGCTGAACATACAAAGTAGTTGCCCTTCTGTTGAGGAATAGCTAAACGAATTGTAGTACGTGAATGAAATGGACTATTACTCTGCTGTGAAAAAGGATAAATATGAATACAAAGAAACATGGAAAGACTTAAATGAACTGATGCAGAGTGAAGTAAGCAGAACTAGGAAAACAATATACACAGTAGCTACAACAATGTAAATGAAAAGAAAAAACAAGAAAGTGAAACAGTTGCAAAATAAAGACCAAGCTTGGTCCCAAAGAAGATATAAGAAAAGACACTTTTCCTTCTTTGCAGAGGTGGGGGACTATAGGTATGAAATAATTGCACATAATTTCAGACTAGTTTGATATGTTGGTTAGATTTGCAGAAATTTTTTTTGTTCCTCTTTTTAAAAAAAAAATTGTAAAAGATGGCTCTCTGGGAAGAGGTGGGGAGAAAAGATGGAGCCAAAGGAAGGAAGGGAACAAGTATTTATTAAGCACCTACTATGTGCCAGGCACTATGTTAAGTGCTTTACAAATATTACATTATTATTATTATTACCACCCAGGGATGTAGGAATTATTATCCCCATTTTACAGTTGAGGAAACTGAGGCAGACAAAAGTTAAGTGACTTGCTCAGGGTCATACAGCTAGTAAATGGCTAAAACCAGAATTGAATTCAGATCTTACTGACTCCAGGCCCAGCACTCTGTCTTCTGTGTCACATAGCTGCACAAATGTAGCCAGATGATATAAAAACAAAAGATATCAATAAAAATGTATTTTTTAAAAAATACTACCCACAACAACCCAATAATAAAGGTAATATAGATAGTCTAATTTTCTCAGATTAGGCAGCTGAAGTGCCAAAGATCACTTCCCTAGGAACACACAAATAAGTGTTAAAGCTAGGACTTTAACCCAAGACTTCCCCTTAACCCCAGTGTTATTTTTCACTATCTTATGCTGTTTCCTGCAATGGAATACCACAGACATATTTTGCTTTTCTGTGTTTGAGCATATTTGTATGTTGGGTTTTTTTTCTAAATTAAATATCTATCTGTAAGGAAGAAAAGTCTCTCCCCCACTTCTCTTACCAGCATTAATTACTATTAATATTAAGTACTATAATGCAGTTACTGTTTCCTAAGAAGGGAAAAGCTCATAAAAGGCTTCATTCTCTTTTGCCTCCATCTCCTCTAATCTATCAATAATTCTGCCTTGCACCAAAAAGTGTCAAATTTGATATTTCAAGATTGAGCCAAGACTTGAAAATCATCCAACAGAAAAAAAATCACACGTTGTGCAGCCATCTAATAAATATGTACCTTAGAATGACTTGGATTATTAGATAGGGATCTTTATACAAACTAATTAATAGCTATTCACTATAGAAAAGATTAAGATGAAGGGGGGCAGCAAGGTGGCTCAGTAAATAGAATACCAGGTCTGGAGTCAGGAAGTCCTATCTTCCTAAATTCAAATTTGGCCTCAGACACTAGCTGTGTAACCCTGGGGGCAAATCACTTAATCCTGTTTGCCTCAGTTTCCTCATCTGTAAAATGAGCTGGAGAAGGAAATGGCAAACCACTTTAGTAAGTTTTTCCAGAAAACCTCAAATGGGGTCACAAAGAGTCAGACATGACTGAACAAGAAAGATGAAGAAGACTGTAAAGATGGCACGGTGGGAAGAAGTAGTACAGCCCAGCTCTGTCTTACAATAATCCTGAGAAAGTTCAGGTGGTGACCAGGAAACCCACGGAGAAGCCACTGTGTAATTTTTCCAGTACTGGGGAAGAAATCCATCCAGGAATGGTCCATGCCTGAGTCTTCCAGCTCAAGAACTGTAGCCTATGACTGCATAGACAGGAAACAAGAAGACTGAGCCAACAGCTGTGTCTCTCTGTGTCGGCTCTCTGAGCAGAGAGAGAGCAGGACCTCAAGATATAGCCCAGACTAAAGCTAGGACCTACAGCTGAGGAGCCATACCCAGTACTACAGACCTTCAGTGAGCCTCTAGCTCTCCATCTCAGCCCATAGACCTAGGTTTTGGCTTGCAGCTAAGTAACCAAGGCAGGAACTTCAGACCAAGGTTAAGCCTATAGCACTGTAGCTCTGAATCTGCAGAGTTTTCTAGCTACTTGACAAGTCTGGGCCCAGCAACTGTCTAATGGAGACAAAAAAGGGGGTTGGGAATGAGGAAAGACCAGAACAGAGGCAGCAGTCAGACTTCACCCCACTTCCCTGGCCAAGGACACACCTGAGATCCATAAAGAACACAGCTCTCAATACCCAGAGAAAGCAGCAGCAGGATCCCAGATAATACAGGTCAGGATCCCATAAGGCCCCAACATTCTCCCACAAGAGTGCAAATCCTGGCCTTAGTACAAAGCCCCAGTTCAAGCAATAAGACTATAGAATGAGTAAACAAAAGTGTAAACAAGGTTTATGTGGATCTAGGGAATGCCCAAGACACCTACCCAGAAAGCAGTTACTCCAAGGTAACTAGAATTCCCAAAAGAAATGGAGCAAGAATTTTAACCATTATTAGCTCTAGAGGAAAGAAATGGAAAAGATGAGAGTTCCAGAAAAAAGACTTGGAAGAATGAACAGCTTAGTATAAGAAATATCAAAGTTTAGGGGCAGCTAGGTGGCACAGTGGATAGAGCATGGCCCTGAAGTCAGGAGGATCTGAGTTCAAGTCCAGCCTCAGACCAAATACTTGACACGTACTAGCTGTGTGCCCCTGGGCAAGTCACTTAACCCCAATTGCCTTAAAAAAATATATATAAAAATTTACACAAGTAACAGACTCCCTGAAAATGAGAATAAATACAGAGAATTTAATTATGTTCATGAGACAATAAATATTAAAGTCAAAAATGGGGGGAGGGAGAAAATGTAAGTATCTCATATCAAAAATAACAATACAGGTCAAGCAAAATAAATGCAAAAATTACTGGAGTACCAGAAAGCCATGACACCCCAAATAGAGCCTGGAACACCATGAATCATGAATGAGAGGTAGAGACAAGATGGAAAAGTAACAGAACAGTAAGATGTACAGTCTAGTTCCTCCACACAGATTTAGAAAACACCAGACCAAATTCTGATTGGGAAATCCAAGAAAAGGTCTCAGTCATTTTTTTGTAAACCAGAGTGGCTCATAAAGACAGATCTATGGGCACAGAAGAGGTCTGGCCAGGAGCATATCTTATAATAGAGCATTCCAGTGCCCATAGACTGAGAGCCAAAAC